CCATCTGTCTTGATGTTGCACCTGTGACTTGTCCTTCCTACCAACAGTCAATACTCCAGTTAAGGGGAGTAAGACAGACAGGTTAATAGTTGAGCTGAGAAAATACTAACTTCCTTAAATAGGTTCCTATTTAAAAAATATGGTGACATCATAGTCAGGCAGAATTGTGCCTGAATTTTCAGTTTTAGCTATCTTTCACTCCATGAACTTCTGTTTCTTTACCTTTAAGTGGAAATGACAAACAACCACATTTGGTCCTGTGAGAATTAAAGAAGGTAAAATATATTTCGCATTCAATACAGTACCAGGTACTTAAATTGAATAATGAAATTCCTCCACAGCCCTTTGCTGTTGCCTCATCATCACAGAGAAGGACAGAAGCCATCATACTTAGAGAAGGAACGGCTCTTCAGAGCCTGTTGTCTTTGTTCTTCCAATTCTTAGCAGAAATCAGCTGGAGGGCATGTCCTTGGAGGAAAGGGGACCCAGAGAACAAGAGGACAGTAAAGGCTAGTGACTGACAGAGCTGGAGGGCAACTTGGCAACTGAACTGGAGAAATTCTCCTCTTAAGACGATGAGGCATGGGGAAACAGGTTTTGTTATTCTTTTGGAAAGCAAATAAGTAGAAAATAAATGGTAAAAAATGAGTGGCCTTGTTGAATCCCAATTAACATGGGGCCAGTACATCCTAGCATATGAAATTATCTTGGAGTCCACTTTAAGCCCATTAAATTTCACTAATGAGTTAGGCAGTATTTTTTTTTTAAAACTCATTATACACTTAGTAACAAAGATTAATGGTATTATCAAGTAATTTTCGGATGGTTTGTAAAAAGCACATGAATTGTTTGCAAAACAATATGTCTCAAAACGCCGGAGAGCATGCCGTCTTGGACTGGCAAAGTTTCTTCTCTGCAATCCTGGCTTTCACAGTGGATTTGAGGGGAAACATGCTTTGGCCTTGTTTGGGAGTAAATTAGGATATATTTTAGTTAGTGATGGTAAAACTGCTAATGGTTTTACTGACTCTGTTGCTCTATTTTTTTCAATCCTCTCGTTTTAAATTGCCATTTTCAAATTGATGTTTACCCTGCTAGCAACACAGAGAATACAAGCGTGTTCTTTTCAGCATCAATTCAAAGACCATGGATTTTGCTTATTTTTATTCATTTATTTATTTATTTTTGCAATAGGGATTGAACTTGGGCCCTTACAAATGCTATAAAGTTATTGCTTTTTTCAGTGGTTCCTCTGCAGTAAGAGACATGTTTAGAAGAGTGTAGAGGAGAGATGGCTCAGAGGTTAAGAGCACTGGCTTTTCTTCCAGAGGTCCTGAGTTTAATTCCCAGCAACCACATGGTGGATTATAAAACAGTGCAAAATGGTTAATAGCCAATCTTTGACCTGAAGCCCATGTCTGACTGTGTCTTTGCTCAGATCTTGGGAGTCAGAATGGGTCGAACAGCCCTGTATTTGACAGATATAGCTGTCCTTTTTAGAATGTACCAGTGTTTCCAATTTTTTGACACACTGGCGTAGATAAATAGTGATTAGATTTTCCTTTGTTTCATACCATATTTGGCTAGTATTCTGGAGAGAATATTGTGTTCATCTATGTGGAAGGAGCAAAAAATGTTGGTTCTCCTTGCATGAGGTGGCTTTTGTGGTCTCTCAGATCCTGTTCAGGTGCTATTGGATGTCTTCATATCTGTCTCCTCTGAGACAGGAGCCTGTGTTAAACAGAAGGTAAACACCAGCAGACTATGCTCCCAGACCACCTATAGGTCCATCTGCTACCCTCTGCTCATGTCTTAGGACTTCCTCAGGAAAATGTAACCGGAAGAAAAGAGATCTGTGTTGCTGTCTAGGAGAATTATCAGATCACGGGATTCTATTTCTCCATAGCAAGTTACCATTATTATTTTCATTTGTGTGCTTGCTGGACTGAGGTTTGTCTTCCCTACCAAATTAGCTAACCTTCCAAGAGATTAGCCAGATCATTTGTTCCAGTACATGAAATAGGGCCTGTCACGGATTAAGGACTTCACAGATGCTCGTTCTATGTATGGAGGAATGAAAGGATGCTTGACTTAGGTGTGAACTGCACTTCAAGACATTTCTGTACATTAAAGAGCTCAGGTTACAAGCCACCCTCCCCCCCCCCGTTCAATTCCCAGATGACTTGACTTTGTGAGGGTGGTCAGGACAGTTATCATACTCCTAGAACAGGAATGATTTTTCTTCTAAGAGTTGTACTGTGAACAGTGCACAGTGGAAGCTACTAAGCTAATTGCAGTATAGAAAAAGCAGCTTTTCTATAAAACCTTGACAAGGAAAGGTCCTATTCATCATGTGGGTGCAGTTTAGTGATGTTGGTCTCTGAGCTTTGGAAAGTCACCAGAGTGATCCTACTTAAATGTAGTAACATCATTCCTCTCCAGGTGAAGCTACTCAGCGGACTGTTACTTAAAATACTTTTTCTGAATGTTTCTGACCCAGGGCAGATGGTGTTCCTCTTGCTTGTTTTTGTTGTTGTTTGTTTTGTTTTTTTTTGTTGTTGTTTGTTTTGTTTTGTTTTTTGAGACAGGGTTTCTCTTTGTAGCCTTGGCTGTCCTGGACTTGCTTTGCAGACCAGGCTGGCCTTAAACTCACAGAGATCTGACAGCTGGGATTACAGGCGTGCACCACTGTGCCTGGCTGCTTGGTTCTTATGAAGTAACTGGAAATAGAGTTTATCTTAAGACTCCCAAGGAAGTGAAAAACAAAAGCTTACACTTAGAAAAGTGTAATTAAACATGGACCCCTGGAAGACAGTGTAGGCGCAAGTACCCTTGAGTTAAGAGGCAAAGCTGCTACTGTTTTCAAGGGACTTTTGCCCTGTGGGTGGAGAGCGGGTTGAGGAACATACGGTGTGCTGCCCTTCCTTTCACAAACCCTTTGGATTTGACAGTGCCAAGGGTTTGGGTGAGATACCATGGTCCTCTGCTTCCCAGTATGCATTACTGTAAGGGCCTCTGTCTTCACTGAGGTTTTCTGACTTATCATTCTCTCCATCCTTCCCCTCCTTGCTTCCTGGCTGGATCAACCATAGGAACGCTTTGGGGTAACTATGGCTTTGTTTTTTTGTTTTGTTTTTCTTAAGTAGAAGGTTTGGGGCATGAGGTGGGAAGGGGGAGAGACTGTAATTGGAAGAGAAGATGCTAACTCAGTGAGCAAGTGGTGGTGAGTTTCTTTGAATGGTATGTTTCCATTGAAAGCCAAAAGGTTAAAACTGAGAGTTTTCAAGCCTTCTTGGGAAGTGACGATTCCTGTTGCTTTGGGAAATATTTGGCCTATGTGATGTTTCTCTTAGATATTCTAGGTTAGATGTGCTTGAAGAGCAAAAAAAATTATTAAATATCCCAGAGCTCTTAGATATGAAAGCCCATATTAATATAGCATGTTTGGATTGCCTTTAAAAATGACAATGTAGGTCATCACCTGTGACAACCAAAAGAGCATAAAATTAATACTGGTGTAAAGTTGGCATGAAGGAGTAGATTCATTGACTTTATGCCTTAAAAAAGAAGATAGACTATGGCTTCCTTATGCAAGCCTACTAGGCCAAATTGCATGCAGAAATCAGGTACTCTTCATCTGATGCTCTGGGTCCCCTCTCCAGTGACTGTTAATATGATAACGACAATCTAGGCCACCATGAGGGAAACGTCAAGCCTGGTCTCACTATTTAGAATTTTATTTCCCACCATGTGCATGCTTTACAAACTGTAGCTGTTTGAGTTGAATACAAAGATCTCAGAGTATGAGCAGGAAAGACAGAGAAATGCAAGTTGATTTATACATTTAATTCCTAGAGATAAAAAGAGAAATGCATGATCTTCATTAAGAGCAAACATTTCTAAGAGGCTGAAGAGAGAGAGTTATTACCAGGAGAAAAAGGTGGGTGTGGCCTACAACTTGGGCCTGCTCCAACCAAGTAGTTCTCTCAAGCCTGATGCAGAGTTTCTGAAAGGAAATGACTGCAGAAAAGGCCAGTCGCACATAATCAGAGTGTGGGCCAAGGTCCTGGCAAGACGCCTCCACACACGCTTTCTCTGAAGCGGCAGCCTAGCACAGTGAGAGTGTTGAGTTCCCCAACAGTCCTCATGGTGTTCTCCCCACACTGGTGAAATGTGAGAAGTAACAACCCTAGACTTCTGGGTCAAGTTCCCCAATGACATGCTTCAACTGTTCTCTTTCAAGTTAACAAATATCTCGAAAACCCCCTATAGGAAAGGGCTGAACTAGGCACAATGGAGACCCACCGTAGCCTTCTGGTCATGCTATCTAGTTAAGGTTTTTCATTTTTTATTTACCAGTGTGGTGTTATATAGCATTAATCTGACTATCAGAGACCTGAGCAATTGTCTGTATATGTGCATAGAATCCTGCATGTGCCTGGATGTTTCTCTGTGTGTACACAGACATTCCCTTTTATTCATATGGTCACTTCCAGGTAAATTCAATGGAAATTGATAATGCCTTAAATAGAAAAAGACATTTATTCCATTTATGGGCAACTTATCAACTTAAAACCGTATTGTTAACACTGCAGAGTATCAACCTTTTACCCTCATGGTGGGTGACTGGGACCACTAACTGCCCAGCCTTGTAAGAAGGCTGTGGGATAATATTCAAATTTGATGTAGTTTCTATTGAGTGCAACTCACTTTTGCTCCATCTGAAGTTATGAAACCATGAATTAAATTGTTGTGAGCACGTGGATGTACGTATATGGACATGTGCATATCAGTGTGTTCACACACACCACTAGGGCGTGACATGACACTACTCCTGAAGCATGTTTGTGGATTGTCCTTGAAGGATTCTGCACTGACCTAGTTTCTGGCCTCTCGTCTACTCTTCTCTGCTTTTACTCCGTTGTTATTAATGTAATAGTGTGGCTGCCACTTCTGTTTCTCCCCTTTCCAAATGGTTTCCTGGGGTCCTTTCTCTACAGAACCAACAAGGGGCGGGACATCAAGACTATCAAGTCTCTGAGGGTACTTCGAGTTCTTCGACCACTGAAAACCATCAAGCGCTTGCCAAAGCTGAAGGTAACAATCCAACCCGATACCCGTCTTCCACCTCGTCCCTTCAGCTACAGCTGGCTAGCCTATGCAGATTCCATTCTTAGACTGTCCCTTTTTCTCTCTTGGGGACTGGGACTTTTTTTTTTTTCATCTATTAAAGTCAAGGTCTTTGTTTCAAAGGAAAATAATGAGTGTTCCAAGAAACCTGCAGGTGAGATTTTCCTTCTTCAGTCCAGACCCAATTCTTGTTATACTCCCTAGAGTGGCCTGTCATCCAGGAAGAAGCTGTGTGGCTTTGTCTTAGAGCATCCTGTGTTATTGAAGTAGAAAGTGTAAAAGCCCTCTATATGTGTGGTCCGTGTACTGGATAATCTGGGGTATTTTTCTCAGTCATGAGAAAAGTATCACCTCACACAAGTGTTTCATATTTTTGAGGTACCAAAAGGTAGCTGAAGGGCACATAAGTCTATTTTTGGCAGAAGCAGAAAAGAAACGAGGAAGTGAGTTACCTGGAAAAGCTCTTCTTACTGCCATGGCCTGGACAAAAATAAGTATCTTATCCATATGAGCCCCTCACCATCTTGGCCAGTACCTTCCTGCCTCACAGGGCTTGCTTTCCATTCAAACTTGATAACCCGTTGAGCTTGCTCTTCTATCCTTCCCTCTCATATATTGTGGTTAATAGAATCTGAAGCTCCATGGGAGAAAAGCTCCTCCCCTCCCTGAATTCCTGTGGACTTTCAGCTTCTAATGCAAAGGCTCACCATTCAGTTCTTGCTGTCTAGGCCACACAGCCAGTAGAGCAAGCCTCAGGAGGAGTACTCAATCCCATCTTCCTGGGTTGTACCAGGATGCTTCCCGAGAATCAGGTTTCATTACCCACTTGCAGCATCCCAGAGCCTAGCATAGGACATCTCAAAGAGTGGCCATAGCCGTACGTGCCTGAATCATTGAAACATTTCCTAAAATGCACACTTCCCTCCACATCAGCACAGCAGAACCAGACTGCCTGGGAGAGGAGCCTGAACTGCGGCTTCCAAACCTGGCCAGCAGGTGACTCTAAGACAGTAGTGTAGGACCTGGTCACCATGAAAAAGAACCTGCATGAGTGCCAGGTCTAGCTCAAGAAGTTTGGAGCTATTTGACCCAGAGCAGGGTACTTATTCTTAGAATTTCTTTCACCTAGGAAATGGAGATCTGTGTAACTTATATTTGCAGTATAGATAAAAGAGGTGATGTGGGTGGTCACTAGCCAAAAAAACCAACAGTTCCTCTGAGAGGCACTGCTCTCCTCATGCCTGCCATAGAAGATAAAGCTATGAGCTTATTTTTCTTGTTTTTCCAAATTTCCATTATTTCCTGAGTTCTCCTAACTGATAACATATGTCACCCATTCCAACCGAAACCCATACCCCTCCTGGTTTCAAATCACCAACCACTTTCCTTTCTACCCTTAATTTGCAGAAAGGAAGCAGAACAGAATAGGTAAGGAAAGGGAGGGGGAAGAAAATAGGTTACTTTTAAAAGGTCCCAGACTAGCTTTGACATGGTTTCTTCTTGGGCTCCTCACACTTTGCATGGATTCCCAAGAGCACCTTAGTCTTCAAAGGAAGTGCATTCCTCATTGATTTCTTCTTTTGCTTTCCTCCACCTCCTCTTGGATCAGGACCTTCTACTGTGTCATATCTTCCTGGCCACACTCCCTCCAGCCAGCCACTGGCTTAGGCCTGTCAGTCACCACCCCTGCCAGCCCTGTGTGTCCAATACCCAGGCTGTTTGGGGCTACAAATGTGAACTGCAGCACACGCTCCCTTGGGAGCTTCGGAATGTGCAACAACTTAATGAGAGTATCCATACCCAAAGAATGTGGCCTTGGCCTTCAATTAATTCTGTGAAATTGGGAAGGACTGGTTCCTCTCTTGGCAGTATGATAACCTGAGAAAGATATAGGTGTCTCTGGCCATTGCATAAGGCTGAGCATCACTCACATTCCCTGCAGTGTTAAAACTAATCAATCCAGCCATACTATACCCAGCCGTACTATACCCAGCCATACTATACCCAACACTGTGAAGAAGCAGCTGCACAAATGCAGCACCCAGTGAGGTCAGACTCTTCAGTAAGCTAAACCCGAAAGCCTAGGAAATAATCCAAAACTGGCCCGAAATGTGTCAAACTCTCATGGAAATCCTCATGCCTTAGGGCTTAGAAGGAGGTCTCTGGAGACACTCTTGTTTTTGTATTGAGGCAGAAATCCCTGTTTCTACCCACCCAGCCTCATCCCCAGTACAGATAGACCTCATCAGTCTGTCCTACAGTGTCTACTGACCTTCCTCCCGGATGCAGCCAGTATTCAACTAGAGGACAGCAGCACGAAGTGATAGAGTCAGATAGAGTCAAAGCAAATATATGAACTTATGATGAAATATGGAAATGAACAAAGACAATAGCATGTGCTTGCCACTTTGATCCTTTTGGAAATGGCAGGGAGGCTGCTACATCATCAATGTGTAAGTAAATCTGTGAATGTCACCAACAGATTCAAGGTCAGGAACAGGCTGTTTAACAGGTAACATGGTCTAAATGATCTTCAGAACTCCATCAAGCATTAAGTTTCTGGGTTTCACTAGTACCTCTACTGAAATCCCACAAAGAAACCCTTCCATTGCTTTATGTCATGTTGTTTAAGTTTTAGGCTTTATATTCACGTTAAGATTTAGAGAAAATGTCTGTTTCCAAAGCAGGTCCTTGCAACCTTGCCCAGCATCAAAGCCAGCTCCTAACCCCCATGGGTATCACTGTTGGTGTAGTAGGAGCTCCTGAGACAGCTTCCTAGTCTGGTGGGTGGTGGTATGGCCCCTGCCTCAGCTCAGGCCATAGGAGTATTCTGTCACAGGAATGATACAAGGCCCCTCCCTGCTGTCCACAGGCTGTGTTTGACTGCGTGGTGACCTCCTTGAAGAATGTCTTCAATATACTGATTGTCTACAAGCTCTTCATGTTCATCTTCGCTGTCATCGCTGTTCAGCTATTCAAGGGAAAGTTCTTTTATTGCACCGACAGTTCCAAGGACACAGAGAAAGAGTGCATGTGAGAGCCACTACCATTCTCACTGTTGGCTGAGGGTGTCCTGGCAAATCCCTCCCTACCTTCCATGGGTTGACTGGATCTCCTTTCCCTCTTAACTCCATTCCCCTTTCCATAGAATCATAAAATAGGAAGAATTATAAAACAAGCAGAAGTTTGTTAAATTCCTTTATTGTATCAGATATGGTAAGTGACACTTTGCTGAACCCTTAAGTGTTAAGTCTTTCTGATGACCTACTGAGAGAAGTTTTGTTTACATAAAGAAGATGAAACTCAAAGGTTGTCCAAGGTTACACAGGCAATTAGTGGTATCAGGATTCATCCTACATCTGTTGGCACCAAGTACCATTTTTATTCCATGTTAGTACCTGCCTTTAACAAAACTTGCCCTTCCTTTTCTGTGATAGTCATTGTTACCCTGACATCTTTAAAGTTTGTAAAAATGTTTGACTGTTCCATGCACTATATTTAAGAAACCCTATTTCATTTCTATTCTGGTTTCAGAGGTAACTATGTAGACCATGAAAAAAACAAGATGGAGGTAAAGGGCCGGGAATGGAAGCGTCATGAATTCCACTACGACAACATCATCTGGGCCCTGCTGACCCTCTTCACCGTCTCCACGGGGGAAGGATGGCCTCAGTGAGTGATGGGGTGGGCTTGGTGTATGTGTCTTGCAGGCTGACATGGGACTGTGTGGGTGCCTTAAAAGCTGATTCAAGATGAACAAGGCTAACCCTTTGTTACTGTACCAGGCAAAGTAAGTGGTTATGAGTGGGTGAGAAAGGCAGAAAGGAGAAAAAAAATCCTTCAGACAAAGATGGAGAGGGGGTAGACAAAGTCAGAAAAATATTTGAAACTCTCTTTTTATCAATCTTTGAGTTGGGTGGAGCCCTCTTACTTACAGAACAAAGGGTTTTTCAAAACTTTCTACCCGTCAATAGGAATCCATGGGAGTTGTTTTAAACAGATTTATCCTTAAAGTTGGCCCTACACCTGAGAGCCTAAGATGGAGGGATCTGGAAGACCCTAGCGATGCTGCCTAAGGCCAGACCTCTTTTGAAGAATGAAGGCTCTTATGCTGTCCGCAGCAGGAGGCTAATTTGTTTATAAGACTGAACAATAAGTAATACACCAATAGTTGGCAGTAGAAAATCAAATGGCACTAGAAGTCTCGAGGTATTGAACATAACAACCTAACTATAACTGTAAGAGAATATCATCCTGTTGTCTAGGAGTTGAATGCAGATGGAAAGTGGTGCTTTTTAATTCATCAACTTGGTAATCCTCATCCGGGAGCCAGAGGAGGAATGGAAAAAGAGAAGTCATAGTAAGAACTACAAAGGGTGGCACGTCTCTTAACAAAGCCAAGAGTGTCCTCCACCATCTGTACCTTCTCTTTTGGTCCTCACAGGGTCCTGCAGCATTCTGTAGATGTGACAGAGGAGGACAGAGGCCCGAGCCGCAGCAACCGCATGGAGATGTCCATCTTTTATGTGGTCTACTTTGTGGTCTTCCCTTTCTTCTTTGTCAATATCTTTGTGGCTCTCATCATCATCACCTTCCAGGAGCAAGGGGACAAGATGATGGAGGAGTGCAGCCTGGAAAAGAATGAGGTGACAATGGGTAGACTGTAGCAAGGGATAGCAGTGGGAACTTAAGAAAACTATTGGGACCAGCACTCTTAGAGGAAAAGATTGCATTTTCTTAACTTTACTGTAGCATTAGAGTGAGAAGAGAGGAAAAGCTGGTGGGAGGCACAGAGGTATGCAGTCTTGGATCTGGGACCTAGGTTTGAATCCCCAGCATTCACATAAAGAGCTGGGTGTAGGGTTGGTAAGGTAGCTTGGTGACTAAAAGTACCATTGCCAAGCCTGATGACCTGAATCAGTGTCCAGGGCCCACATGATAGGAGAGTACCAACTCCCACACGTTGTCTGATGATCTTTACACGTACATTATCATGAATCTTGGCATTGGCATGCGTACATATGTGTATGCACACACACACACACACTTAAAGAAAAAAAAAAGAAAAGAAAGCTGGGCATGGCTGCATGTTCCTGTAATTTTAACATGGAAACATATACAGGAAAAGCCTAAGAGCTTGCTGGCCAATCAGATTAACCTTAATGGTGATCATCCTGGTTCAAGGCAATAACGCCATAGAAGATGCCCCACGTCCTTCTTTGACCACCACATCTGTGTGCACAGGCAAGTATTACCTGCACACTCTTACACATGTATCATATACAGACAAGATAAAAAAATACATACACAAAGAAAAGATAAGCAGGCATTCTCTACCCTTTTATGTGGCAGTCTAGAAGAAAAAGATAAGTACCATGGTTACAACCTTAAGAAACTTGCCTACCTCCCTGACTCTCATGGCATCCGCGTTTCTAGTGACAGTGAATGTGTTTCCTTACGTGTATCTCCAGGACATGTGTAGGTTTGGAACATTGTACGGTTTCGTGGTTGGCTTTGCTGTTGTTTAACCGAAGGCGCTGAACTAGAAATGGTCATAGATTATAAAAGGAATGCATAGACAGATGCTCAAATATAAAAACTCAAATGTTTATAAATCCAAAACTTTTTGCATGATACAATATGGCAAGTAGAAAATCCTATACCATGAAACTTTGTTTCAGGCACAAACTTAATAAAATATTATATAAATTACCCTTAGGCTATGTGGATGAGGCACACATGAAATATTAATGGATTTTGTGCTTAGCCGAGCATCCTGTCTTCAAAATATCTCATTACATTTATGTAAATATTAAAAAGTCAGACTCAAAGCTGATATCACAAATCACTCTGGCCCTACATATCTTCGGTAAGGATTCTTACCCAGTAGATTTATAGCTGTAACTATGGGCACCAGGGGACGCTTCCCACCTAAATTCTTAGCCATATATGGTGTAAGAGGACTGTCTTAATAACCAACGCTTTCACCCCATGTGACAGGATGCCTCCAGGTCTATATGTACTTGTAAGGTGACGTCTTGCCTATCATTTGGCTCAGATGATCACTGTCCCTGCCTTAGGACTACGTATCTCACGATTTTATCCCTATGCTGTCCTTTCCCAGCCAGCTTAATAGAGCCCAGGGAAGCTTTGCGGGGGGGGGGGGAAGAGGAGGGAATTGGACTGATTCTAATAACCTTGACTTTCTGCAGCGGGCGTGCATTGACTTCGCCATTAGTGCCAAACCTCTCACCCGCTACATGCCACAGAACAGGCACACCTTTCAGTACCGCGTGTGGCACTTTGTGGTCTCTCCATCCTTTGAATATACCATCATGGCCATGATTGCCTTGAACACTGTCGTGCTGATGATGAAGGTGAGAAGTAATTGTGTGTGTGTGCATGTATGTGTGTGTGTGTGTGTGTGTGTGTGTGTGTGCGCGCGCGCGCACGCAGTGACTGAGAGGTCAGTTCACCTTACTAGCCTGCCACATTGACCTGCTCTGCTCTTCCATCATGGAGTCTCTTTGATCTTATCTAATTCAACAGCCCAGTCCCTGGATGTCAGGGTATTGGTGGGACCATTGGATAAAATGCAGAGTAACACAGAGAAACATTTTAGAGCTTCCAGGAACAAAAATGTCAGTAGGATCCACCTTTATCAGGGGTGGACAACGTCCTTTAGACATCGATGTTAATGGGAGCTTAATCGTATTTAACGCAAAGGGCTTCTGTCATGGCTGCCTTTAGTCTGGACATGGAGGTGGTTTTGCTATTAAGCTGTCATGAGTGGGACACTGGTATGTGTTTTACTGCATAATACGCATGCACCGAACTGTTCCACCAGGGCAGGTTGAGAGATGGCCAGACCTGGCATGCGTATCCAACCATGTACAGGTCCGTATACCTTAAGGCTTTGACTCTACTCTACTTTTTTTTTTCTTCTCTTTCCTGGCAGTACTATTCTGCTCCTTGCACCTATGAACTCGCCCTAAAATACCTGAACATTGCCTTCACCATGGTGTTTTCCCTGGAATGTGTCCTAAAGGTCATCGCTTTTGGCTTCCTGGTATGTCTGATCTAGCAACCGGCTTCTCTTCCCTTGGGGCACACAGAGGTTACTGCTTTTCAAGGATGGGTTTGCACACTTGCCCACCCAATAGTGAGCTCGCTTACTCAATAAACAGGCTGCTATGTGAGAAGAGTAATAGAAAAGGCAAAGGAAGCTACCTGCTCCTCTACCTGTCTGCCCTGGTCCTATTGAATTCTGTCAGCAGTAGAGCACCTATCCTTAGATTTTACTGAAACTATGATTGACACATAAAGAAGACAAAAAATTAGATTATAAGTTGAGTGATTATTTACTGGTAATTTATATATGAATTTTATGATTTGAATGGAAACTATCTTTAAACCTCACACAGCAAATAACAGACTTTATCCTATTAATCTTCTGCCCATTAAGTAGCATGAAGAGTAACATCTGCCAATTAAAAATAAATGTTTATTACTTATGCTTACAATGTCCAATCATTTTTAGGGGGTGAGGGTATATTCTAGAATTGGATTTGAGAGCGATTGCAATGAATTATTCTGGCATGAGCTCTCTTTTTACTTCTCCTCAACTAGTAATCACGATCATTTGGCAAATTCTTTCAAACCTGACCCTTGCATCAATGTCCTATAAACAAAATCTGCCCCTCCCTCTCCTCCTGCTTGCTTTCAGAGCGTGCTGTGGGTTCAATGAGGTGCAGATAGGCCCACTGGACAGCTGTTTCACACTTAGGGTGTGAGCTCTCCTTTCAAGTGTAAGTGTGTACCCCTTTCCTAGCAAGAAGGGGCGACTTTGCTGTAAATCAGAATGAGTGCTTCTGGTAACGGCAGTAACAGGGGCTCTGGGCTGGGCTTGATAATTGTCAGTGTTGGTTGTGGAGGTTGTTTTCAGTCTCCTGGTTTTTTTATGCCACCATTAATTTGATTATTTGGGGTGGGGAGTTGAAAGGGACCCATTGCGGTGGCTGCATTGTGGAATTCTTGACGCCCTTTTGAGTGTTTTGAAACCCGAGGAAATAAAAAGGTAAAAAGAAACTTCTACCAAACAAAGATGCCTATATAAAACAGCCCAGCCCAAGTAGGGTGAAGTGAAAGAGAGAGGGAGCCAACACCTCCACAGGGAAAGCTTCTCTTGGAGTCTTGGTGTTGACATCATCTGTGACTTAAACCCCAATTATGTGTCTAATTATGGTGAACTCTGAATACATACTTTTACAGGCTTAACTAGAGGATTCGGCCTTGAGCCCTGCCTCCTTCCTACCCTCGTTCCTGTGTTTCATCCAAGGCCAGGAGGCATTCACACTGGAAAAGGCAGTGTTACATTGATTTGGCGCCTAAGCTTTCAGGCTAGCCCCCCGCGCACTGTCTGAGCAGATCTTCTCTTCAGCTCTGCAGCAGGCACAGTAGATGTTGCTGCTGTCACTGCTGCCATGTTCATTTTGAATGAGAATATCGAAGCCCATAAAATGTGTAAAGGCTACACAGTGAAATGTGGGATTGGAAAGATGGTGAGGATAAAACAGAAAGAAAAAAGGGAAATAAGCAACATATTGTGCCACCCAGTAAATACCCATCCAGTGTTCTATGCATTGATTTTCTCTATGAAACAACCCTATTAGACAGGCTTAGGCAATATAAATGCTTTTCTCAGAGTTAGTGAAAGACAGATCCAGGAGTTGGATTCTGGTCTATCTGACCTCAGAGTTCACAATAATTACTAGTTTATTCAGTAGCCAAGACATATATTCCAAAATCCCCAGGGGATACCTCAAACTGAAGGAAATCTGATATCTGATCGGATGAATTCTGAGAAACATATTTATCTTAGTTTCTCTTCTTATTGATATGGTAAATTATACTCTGACAAAAGCAACATAAGAGAGAAATAGTTTATTCTGGCTTGCAGCTCAAGGGTGCAGTCTACCGTGCTCAGGCAGTTCAGAGTGGCAGGAGCTTGAAGCAGTTGGTCACATTACATCCACAATCAGGAAGAAGAGAGAGATGAATACACGTCACTGCTCAGGTCACTTCCTTTCTTTATACAGTAACATGATCCCAGCCAGGGTGGATCTTCCCACTCAGCAACACAATCCGGGTAATCCTTCACGAGCATGCTCAGAAGCCCATCTCCCAGGTGACTCTGGGTTCTCGGAAGTTACTACTAACATTGTTAGTCTGTTAATTCTGTCATGCTAACACTAACGTTGTTACTCACAATACTGTTAGGTGATCTTGTCCTTTTGTGAGTGTCATAGTATGTATTTATAAACTGTTATGGCTCGATCACCAGGCAGAATAATACTATGAGACCACCACTGAATATGTGATATGTCAGTAGCAGAAACACTATTACGAGGCCCTTGACTGAATTGTTTTTGTCCTATTAAGTTGAGAATTTTCACTTAAAGCACTTCATAGCTTCTCTTTAGCATTTAGTAATTTTTCATTTAATATACTGAATTTCAAGTAACTAAAATCTTGGAAAGTGATACTCTGGATAAAATGGAAGAGTACTGTCCCTCACAATGTTGGTTGTGCCACTCGGTATTGTAAGGTGTCCTCAATTTGACCTCATGTCTTCCACTCCTCTAAAACCTAGATCTATGAACTAAGATTTAGAAAATTTACCTCGGGATGTGGTATAGTGGAGCCTGGAAAACTTGGGGGCTTTCGGGACCCCACTTGGCTCCCCACATTGATGAGTTAAGCGTCACCCTGGAAGGGGAACTTGTTTACAAAGTTGGGCACATCTGCTTTTCCTTATACTCTAGGGTGTATGTGGCCCTGGAATCAGAGTTCCCTAAACCTTATTTTTCTCATATCAAAAAACAAAGATAACAATAGCTGTCTTATAGTCTTAAATACATGATGCTCATTAAATATAACCTCTCTGCACAATCCTTTCTCTATGCCATAGCTTCACTGTGAAGAACAAGACCTCTATTCAATACTATATAACCATGGGGCATTTGATACTACCTAACCTTCAGACCCACAAAAGGAACAGAAGAGCTGAAAGAACATCAAGAAATAGATGATAAAGATCAAGTGAGGTAGTTGTGAGCATAGGAAAGAGGACACTTTGATAGTATCCAAAGCTGTTATGGTACCTGATGCCCACAAGAAGCCAAGTGGTCACTTTGGAGATGTGGGTTCCCTGTTTCAAAGAATGTAGCCCAAGGTGTGTGCTATCTGAGAATGGATGGACATCATGCATTCTGAAGCAAGTGGAGCTATCTGGCTGGTGGACTTTCTGGGTCTCTTATATTTCCCCCATATTATATTCAATCAACCTCATCATTTCATATATATATATATATATATACATATATACATATATACATATACACACATACATATACACACATAACTTAATTCCACCTCCTCACAAGGTGTAACAGAGCATAAAAATGGGGAAGTGGAATCTATTCACCCTACTGTCAATTGGTTGTTCTGAAAAGACTATGGAGATTTGAGCATGCCTGCAACCTTTAGCCCCATACAGCCTCTTGAAGCAATACAAATATTTTAGAAGTTAAAATTGTATCATGCCTAAGGTTTAATGGCTGTGTACTTATCTCAGTTCTTTGAGGTATATATATTATAAAGGTAAGGCTTCTTATTTGTTGATCAAACTCAGTAGTGTGGTTGAAAAATAAATGGTTACTAATCTTTCTTATTGGATTTTTAGTGACAGTGTCAAAAACATGGTCTTCAAATAGTTGTAGAACTGTTTTAAAAATGAAGATTTCCCAAATTAGTAAAAGAGAAACAGAATTTCGGGCTAGAAACAGAAAACTGAGCCCAAAGTTAGAATGAACTTATGCATGAATTGACAAGTTTTAATTCCAAGTGACAAAGTTATGTAATAAAAGATGTCTTTCCTTTCTTTCCTTTCTCTTCTTTCTAATGCTCATGTGACCGAATTCACTTGGCAGAACTATTTCCGAGATACTTGGAACATCTTTGACTTCATCACCGTAATTGGCAGCATCACAGAAATTATCCTGACAGACAGCAAGGTGAATGAATGGGTCACAAGATTGTTGCATTTAATCTGGACCCCGGAGCAGTATTTGGAGAAATCCTCTCCACCATTTATAACCCACCCAATCAAACATGCCCCTTTTGTGTTGGGAGTCTACTTCCTCTTTCCGGAGCATTAATCAGAGAATGCAAACTTTGGGGTGGTGGTGGGTCTCATGGAAGGCTTATTTACAGCATGACTTAAGTAGCAGACATCTAATTGGAATAGAGGTGTCAGAAGAAAGTTAGTATTTGGTGTTTGGCCAAATACTCCAAAGAGAAACATAGTGTCTTTAACTTCAAAGTTGTTAGGCCTGAAGTGTTTCTGTAAATCCGTTCATCCTAAAGAACTCACCAAGTGCTTTATTGCAATTATTGAGTAGCAACCCTGCTCTTTTGGCCTCTCCGTGCAGAGTATTGGCAGCAACCAGGAATGCTGGTTTTCCTTCCTGTGTGCTGGCGTAGTCTCTGTACCCATATACCTAGGAATGGAGGGGCAGGGCCGGGAGGCTTAGAGAGAAACTCCCAGGGTGCCTCCCAACTGGAGCCGGGTTACCCACAAAAGACGGAGACTGTCGTCTATTTTGTGATCTGAATAAGGAATAAATGTGAAAATACCAGTGCTTAGATCTTTCTAAATGAGCATATTGTCACTAATTACATGTTTCCTTTTGGTCCACCAGCTGGTGAACACCAGCGGCTTCAATATGAGCTTTCTGAAGCTCTTTCGAGCCGCGCGCCTCATAAAGCTACTGCGCCAGGGCTATACCATTCGCATCTTACTGTGGACCTTTGTGCAGTCCTTTAAGGTAAGAGGCTCCCGGAGGGTGGCACACCAGTGCCAGACCACGCCGCAGCAGCGTCGGCACCCCGGATCCTTCACCTTTAGGAAGGAGAAGTTTGTAAACTTGACGTTGATTAGAGGCATAAATATAATAGTTCTTAATTATAGCCCAGGCTCACTGGATAGTGATCAATTCAGAGCGACGTTATAGAATCTTACTCTAAAAAAATAATGTGGCATTTTCACTTTGTACCTTGGGCCTTGAGTATTCTAAATTGCATTGAGCCATTCTGCCCATCCATAGAATCAGCCTCCCATTGTCAGATGTCTTCAGTGTTTTCAGGGACTTGTCAATAATTTTATTTTGTGGTAAAGGTTTTCAGAGGACTTTTTAAACTTGTGCTTCATAAGGAGATGATTCATGTTCAGTCTGCCATGTTTTCACCTGGGCGTCTTGGACTAGTGAATGTATAGTACAGTAATACCAGACACACATACAAACACACACACACACATACAAACACACACACACATCCTATAAAAGCTAGGGATGTTTGGCCAAGTTAAAATACGTTTCTTTTAAATGCGCTCATGGGACTATGCATACATCTAGGGATAAAGGTTATTTAAAAAGTCAGTGCCTAAAACCCACTTCAATAGCAGTAATAGTAAAGAAAAGTTTCCAAGAATACCTACATTTCTTTGAGCTCTAACAAATAGGATAAATTAAATGTCTTTTAGACGTCTAACAAATAGCATAATTAGATGTCTAAGGCCTAAGCGCATTTCTTTTCTTGCAAATAAAGTTTTTAAATTAATGTATTAAAAATAAATTAGATAAAATTAAGTGATTCAAAGATGACAAACCATAAATGCACAAAACTGTCTTCCTTCTTTTACCTATATTTTTAATTAAATTAAAAAAGACAGGGCAGTAAAATCTTGGTATGTCATCGGAGTTTGAGATGAGAAACCGTGCTAAGGATTTTCAGGCTCCAAGGTCTAACCTTGGCTTTTCTACCCTATCAAGAGCCAGTTGTTTGTCAGGATTATTTCCACAGAGGCCTCACCTCAGTGAACTCTAGTTTTCCAGAGCTAGGTAACAGAGGAGAAATTCAAAACCTTAAGAGTTGCCCAAGTCTTGGATGAGTTTGGATTTAAAATTAGAAAGACAAGTTGCTTTTAAAGCTGTTTTTTTTTTTTTTTTTAAGAGGACTGCCCATCAAGCTTCAATTGTTAGGGAATCTAAGAAATGTGTGTCATCCTGCCATGTTATCACATCACTGAGTCTCTGTGACACTATGTCCTATTGAAGCTAAAGAAAATGGTGTCAAAAACTGACAGCCAAATGGGTGGCATATTCAGTGAGTTCTACAGAGAACAGGCAAGGCAGGTGAATCTGAATCCCACTGGCGCTGTATTATGGGTAGGCGTTTTCAGGTCAGTTCTGGGATACAGTACCGGAGCAGGTTGCCTAACAGCAACATTTTGAAAGGCCACATCCGCAAATACAAAGCCTCAGAGAGATGTCCTATCTAAACGCTACACCATTGCCTTTACCTATTCCAATCCAACCCCTAGATTCACCCAGTTCTCTCTCTGACCCCTGTACAGAATCTCATCCTTTCTTTCTCTTATTTTGTGTTAGAATTTATTTTGTGACAAGAAAAGAGAACAGGGCCTAGGAGATGGCCCAGGTATTTAAAGTGCATACTTCTCTTGCAAAGGACGTAGGTTGCATTTCTAGGAACCATATAAGGTGGCTCACAACTACCTGAACTCCAGGTCCAGGGGCTCCAACATCCTCCAGCCTTTGCAGACCCGTGCACATATGTTACATATAAACTTATACAGGCACACCACACCCATACACATAAATACTTTTTTAAAGAAGGGAGAACAGATGGCATCTTTGGTTTTCTCCTTAAAGCTTGGAGTAGGAAGATGATCTAGGACTGGGAGGCTTTGGGTGTAGAAGGTTTAACAAGGCCAAACCAAATGGGTAGAAGAGGGCAGCAGTCCAGGCAGCAGAGAACCCTGCCTCCTTATGCCAATCCCCAAGGAAATGAAGCTACTCCTTAGGATCCAGCACTTTATGGCAGAGGGCCCTCCCCATCAGCTTTCAGTTGTGTTTAAATTTGCCCTCGATTCAAGTTTTGAATAGTCCCTCAAAGGGTTCTTCATTTTGTTAACTCTGTTGATAAACTCTGCCCTGCTCCAGCCATCTGAAAGCCTTCGGCTGGTCTCCTGGGACTCATGGTGTTGTATATTCATGACAAGATAGAGACTCACAGTGGCCCTGGCTGTCTGGAGATTACTGAATGGTAAAGAAGAGGGACTTTCATGCCAATCCTGGGATCAGCACACAAGTATATTGGCTTATCTGGCTCCAAATCTTAACTGTCCTGTGTCTGTTCCTGCCCCAGAATATCAAGGGCAGGTCGCAGGTCCCTGCCTTCCACTCTCACATAGAAATGCTATCATCCCAAAGTGGCAATAGGCATACACAATATGGATTTTTATTTTTTATTTTTTTATCTTGTGGCTTCATTGTAGTTTCATAATGGCTAACACTGTGTAGGCTTTGAGGGAAATTATGTGAAATACAATAAAATACTGAAGGGATTAAGCACTGGAAACAGTGTTTCATCAGAAGATAAAAGATACTTCTAGGAATGAATAATAAGGAGACCCCAGTCAATTAACCTGGCCTCCAGATCCCCCACTTTGAGCTATTAGGTGAGGGAGTGGGAGGAAGAACTGGAGACCTTGAAGCCCAAACTAAGTACTTCCTCCTTAATTTGGGTCACAGTTGCTAGGATTATTAAACTTCTACATGCCAAGTGAAATGTCTCTCAAGCCCAGGAAGTTTTGCTAGCTCTCTTTGGAAACAGGGGTCACACATCTATCAGAAGACTTGGGTACATTTAAAAAACAAAAAGACTATTCCAAACAGAACATCCCTGAGGAGCAGGGTGGCAGTCCTGCTTGAAATAGCCTCAGGACAAGAGTTCCTGCCCTGCAGTTGACTGCAGGAGCGGTGGTCTCCTTGATTAATTACCATCTCTTGCTCCCCTTGCAGGCTCTCCCGTATGTCTGCCTTCTGATCGCCATGCTTTTCTTCATCTATGCCATCATTGGGATGCAGGTGAGTAGGCACAGGAGTGGCCTGGTAGGGCTGCCGCTGCCTACATTAACTCTGGCAAGGTTGAGGACGGTTTGTACAGCTCTTCTCGACAAAGGGGTCTCTCAGGTCTTATTGCCTGTAACCTTAGGAATGTCCCAAGAGCAGTGGTTCCCTAGGTATTTAGGGTGGTCTGTTCTGGGGGCTTCATCTGAGGTTTTCTGATCATGCTGGTGACTGAGGAGTGGCTCAGGCTTCAGTGGCTACAACAGAGCTGAAGTAAAATGGCACCACTGTTTTGGAGAGAGAGGGATCCCCATTGCCACTAAAATAAGGCTTAATTGTTTCTTAGGATCTCTGTTATTTGGACTTGACCTAAAAGAAGGCTAGATGGCGGTTCCTCCTGTAAGAGATAATATCAAATGCATCTATGTTAGTTTTAACTTTCTGAGATCTATGCATTAAGACCTGCCACTGCCCATGCTAGGGATCCCCAAGAGTTACATTCCAACCAACAAACAGGGACATGCAACTTGCTGGATAATTCCCTGGACTACTTACTTCCTCCCTATTTTCAAAACTTGATTGCAGATCAGGTTTCTATCCTGGATATTTGTGCAGATAGCTAGAGGTTCACTGAACCCCAAGAAGCCAAATGTTCTTTTTAAAGACAAGAACCTTTTGCGGTAGATATCCTGCTTCTATTAACAGTGAGCATGTACCCCTAACTTATCTGATGGGGTCCACAGGCTTTCTGCTTGTCTAAGAAAGCCTTCCTTTCTCACTTAAAGACTGCACGACTAACCCCTGCAGCTCACAGTCTCCTGCAGCCTGGCAGCCTGAATGCCCCCTAAGCGGTTTCTGTCATCTGTAGCCATTGTCTCAGCTGCCAAGTTTGATCAGCAGCCTTGCCTAGATTCTTTTGGAAAGGCCTCTTCTCTTTGCTCCTCTCTGCTGCCTTTTTGTTTTCACTCTTCCCCTAACTTCATGACCAGGGAGTATTGTTCTCTAAAACCAAGGTAGAATGTCAAGCATCATAAGGTTTGAGAGGCTGTGTTTTTCCTTCTCTGAGGATCTTTCAGTAGAGATATAAGATGATGTCAGTAGCATTAGAAACAGAATTGCCACGGAAGTTTAATGTTCTCTTGATAACTTCAAGATCCTAAACAAACTCCCTCCAAACATTACCTTGGAATTTACAGATTCTCAAACTGAAAGTGGAGAGTTGGTTAAGTTACATTCTGTATGCCTAAATTTCTGTCTGGTGCAATAACTCTTACCCCTCTCTTTATCTTCAAGCAAAATCGGAAAGAATAATACTATGTCCAGTTCTATTGCTAAGACTCATACCAACACTGATAATGCTGTGTACCATTTGCTTCAATTGTTTGGTGTGCCAGAGATGGTGCTTAGTGTGTGCCTATATGCAAATATACACATACAGATACACAGAGATTGTTCTTGAGATGTTTTGTACAAAAAGTTTGCTTGATGCCAAACCGAAGAGCTTTTGGATTAATTCCATTGACAGAAGAAATCTCAGAACAGCCTAGTATTGACTCTGTTGTATGGTTGTTAGTGTTCACTCTTATGAATATCTATAATGAAAAGGAGCAAGCTGAAAAAGAAAAGATATAAAATTTACAATTTGAGGAGAAAGGGGACATAAGGAAGAAGAACAGTGCTTAGTCCTGTGTTCAAAGAGATAAACAAAGAAAAGCCAGATATTAAATTGAATAAAGGGAATGTCATCTCAGGACAAGACTCCACCCAGTAAGCTTCCAACTCATATGAAAAGGAATCAAATAAAAGTGAAAAGGAATTAAAGAAGAGCTTAGGTCCAGGTGTGGTGGCACACACCTTTAATCCCAACCCTGGAGACAGAAGCAAGAAGATCTGTAAGTTTGAGGCCAGCCTAGTCTACAAAGCGAGTTCCAGGACAGCCAAGCTTAGGTGGTGAAGGTAACCATCAAAAACGACATAAGTGCCTTCCACAATGGGCAGAAGGACAAACAGGTAGAAGCAAGCTTTTTTAAAGTTATCTATCTATCTATCTATCTATCTATCTATCTATCTATCTATCTAT